GAGATTACTAGATGTTAAGGTTACATGTAGACACTCGGAGCAGTGCTCTGTGGAGAGTAGCTGCTGTCTGCCTGGCGAGTGTTAAGTGAGGAAGTGGGCTTGGGCTGCTGCGGGTTAAACTGCCACTCGAGCTGCTTGCATCTCACACCAGAGTGCTTGTTTGGGTCCTGGCTCCTCCACTCTTTTTTTTTTTAAAGATTTATTTTTTTATTTTTATCGGAAAGGCAGATGTATAGAGAGGAGAGACAGAGAGGAAGATCTTCCATCCGATGATTCACTCCCCAAGTGAGTGCAACGGCTGATGCTATACTGATCCAAAGCCAGGATCCAGGAACTTCTTCCAGGTATCTCACACAGGTGCAGGGTCCCAAAGCCTTGGGCCGTCCTCGATTGCTTTCCCGGGCCACAAGCAGAGAGCTGGAAGGGAAGCGGGGCCGCCGGGACCAGAACCGCCACCCACATGGGATCCCAGGCGTGCAAGGCGAGGACTTTAACCACTGCGCTATTGCGCCGGGCCCCCGGCATCTCCACTCTTGATCCAGCTTCCTGCTAATGTGCCCAGGAGGCCCTGACAACCGTGTGGGAGACCCAAAGTACCTGGCTTTTGGCTTTGTTTTCACTCAGCCCCAGGAGTTGGGCTATTTGGGGAGTCAACCAAATGGAAGCTCTTTCTGTATCTCCTCTCATTCTGCCTCTTTCAAACCATTCTCTTTTCTTATTTTTTTAAGAAAAGTCGAAATAAGAGTTAATGGATAGATGAGAGTAGGTTAACTTTTCTTTTTTAAACTTTTTTTTTTTTTAAAGATTTGTCTATTTTGTGATAAAGTCAGATTTACAGAGTAGGAGAGAAAAAGATCTTCTGTCTGCTGGCTCACTCTACAAGTAGCCGCAGTGGCCAATGCTGAGCTGATCCAAAGTCAAGGGCCAGGAGCTTCTTTTGGGCCTCACATGCAGGTGCAGAGTCCCAAGGCTTTGGGTCGACCTCAACTGCTTACCCAGGCCACAGGCAGGGAGCTGGATGGGAAGTGGAGCGGCTGGGGCACGAACCGGCACCTACATGGGATCCCAGTGCTTGCAAGGAGAGAAGTAGTCAATTGAGCCATTGCCCTCATTTTTCAATTCTAAAAATTTACTTAATTTATTATTTTGAGAAACAAGCAAAAAGAGACTGAGAGAGACCTTCCATACACTCTTCCATTCCCAGGAAGCCAGGAGCTGGGAACTAAAGCTGTCTTTGGAGTGGATGTCCAAGTTGTTCAGCTGTCACTTCTGCCCCACAGTGTGTGCGTTTCCACAGTTAGAGTCAGGAGCGCCTCTGGGCCTCCTCTGCAGCAGGCACTGTCCTGTCCTGGAGGTCAGTGTGAACCGTCAGGCTCATGGCTACCTGCTGGTGAAGAACTCCAAGGGGATTTCGGGCCGCATTGCGCTCTCCGTCCTCTTTTGTCTGGCATTTCCTTGAAGTTATGTTTAGGTTTATTTGTCTAAAAATGTTCATCATGGTTAAAGGTGAAGTGAAGACCAGAAGCCGCCAAGCTCTTGCTGCAAGCTACACATATTCTAGCTGGGTTTATGGTCAGGACAGAGCACAAGTCTTTTTTTTTTAAATTGTGAAGTCTGATGTACAGAGAGGAGGAGAGACAGAAAGATCTTCCATAAGCAGGGAGCTGGATGGGAAGTGGGGCTGCTGGGGTTAGAACCAGTTCCCACATGGGATTCTGGTGTGTGCAAGGCTAGCACTTTGGCTGCTAGGCCACTGCACTGGGCCCACAGTAGAAGTCTTAAGTCCAGTAGCTTTCTTAAGTCCTTGGATCTATTAGCATCTGTTCAGCCAACCTGAGAGTCTTTTTTTTTGGTAAAGATCTGATGAAATGTATGGGATATTTCACAATGAAAAAGTATTCTACAAATGCACTGTGGTTAATAATCAGGTGACTGGTTGAGAATGAAAAGATTTATAATTCTATCTAAGAAAAATTTTATAACCAATATGTTATTATATTTGCATGTAATTTATTAATGTGATTTAATTGGATGAAGTAATATCTGTGATAGATTTATCTGTGAATTGGAAAAAGGAGCATTAGAAGTTTTTTTTTTTTAATACATTTATTTCTTTTAATGACACAGTTTCATAGGCTCTGGGATTCCCCCCAACCCCTCCCCAAACCCTTCCCCCACATTGAATTCCTCCGCATTGTTACAGTAGTACAGATCATAACCAGTTCATTGCGGGCATGGACCATGCAAAGAGTCTAGCATCTTTTTTTTTTTTTAAGATTTATTTTTATTATTTTTTATTGGAAAGGCGGATATACAGAGAGGAGAGACAGAGAGGAAGATCTTCCATCCGATGACTCACTCCCCAAGTGAGCACAACGGCCGATGCTATGCCGGTCTGAAGCCAGGAGCCTCTTCCAGGTCTCCCGCGTGGGTGCAGGGTCCCAAAGCTTTGGGCCGTCCTCGACTGCTTTCCCGGGCCACAGGCAGGGAGCTGGATGGGAAGCGGGGCTGCCGGGATAGAACCAGTGCCCATATGGGATCCCGGGCATGCAAGGCGAGGACCTTAACCACTTGTGCCACCGTGCCGGGCCCGAGTCTAGCATCTTATTATCCCGATAAATTCAACAGTTTCATTGGGAAACCATCCCTGGTCTGAAAGTAGGGCTGGCAGAATATCATTCCCTCCAATGAAAAGCCCCTACACAATTTCAACAACAATTTACAACATTATGAAGTTAATTGACATGGTATTTAGTGACCAATATGTTAGAAAATGAAAGTTTTTTTTTTAAGTCAGTTTTTTTTTAAAGATTTATTTTTTTTTTTATTGAAAAGTCAGATATACAGAGAGGAGGAGAGACAGAAAGATCTTCCGTCCAATGATTCACTCCCCCAAGGGATCATAACAGCTGGTGCTATGCGATCCGAAGCCAGGAGCCAGGAACTTCCTCCAGGTCTGCCACACAGGTGCAGGGTCCCAAGGCCTTGGGCCGTCCTTGACTGCTTTCCCAGGCCTCAAACAGGGAGTTGGATGGGAAGTGTTGCTGCCCGGATTAGAACCAGCTCCCATATGGGATCCCGGTGCATTCAAGGCGAGGACTTTAGCCACTAGGCCATGCTGCTGGGCCCAGAAAATGCAAGTTCTTAACCACATCCTTTAACTGCTTCATTGACATCTCAATTATAGATTATACACAACTGACTGCTATACATCTTAAAATAGTTATATGGTACTATTCAGCTGTCTCGTGTCTATTTTCATTTATATATTTAGCAGCTTAAAGTATTCAAGTGTGATTTCCACTGAACTATGCAAAATTTAGGATAGTCCAAACAGGTTTTTACCTCAAACAAGCCATATGGTAACAATTGAGGAGCAGAACAATTTTAGGCGTGGTGTGCAGAGAAATCTTCAATACCTTGGTGAGGAGTAACTTATCTTTGTGTCCTTTTTATCCTTTATTAGGTATATGGGAGTCCAAACTGACTGTTTCCTGTCTGTTTTAAGCTTTCCTTATTGGTCTCTGTTTATCTGATCTAATTTTTTCAGGGGGTTCCGGAGTGACCCTGATGGTCATTGCAAGAGACGGTGGAACTGAGTTAGGACCAGAGAAAGCTCCCCTCCCGAGTCCCAAAGGAAGTTTACTGTTCTGTTTTTGAGGGCCACTCAGGGCTCCTGGCAGTTGTTTCGATGACATTAGATCTTGTGAGGAAGGATCTGGGCTTCTTCCATCCTGTGTGGGAGATCCGAAAGGAAATGGATGACCTCAGAGTTCTCGGCCTGCGAAGGCACTCCAATTCCCCGTGGTCTCCTTGGCAGTTGGGATATAGTCCTTGGTGTCCATACTGGTAGTCCTTGGTGAGGATCCGGGAGTCTCCAGGGTTGGGATACAAGCTTCCTCCTATTCTGTTTCTCCACTCTGGGGTCCCCCCACTCTGTGCCTCCGATCTCCTGTTAAGGGGCTTTCAGGGTCGCTCTTGGAACCCACTGTATGCCTTTATAGTTTTTGCTAATGTCTAATGCAGATTTGAGTCTGCTGTCTGTAAGTTAAGTTCCTGTTACAATCTTGATAGGTTACACTTAACATCTTCCTCATACACTCTAAGAAGGTGGAAGATTTCTCTGCTCTCCCGACCCATTAAGGAATAACATAGAGTATTAAAAGCATATCAGGCTTTTCAGTTCTTTCATGTAGATTATAGGCGATCTGTCTCTCATTGATTGTTGGTTCATTGGTTACATCACAATATCATATTGCATGTGATACAGGCTGTTTGAGTTTGTAATAATATTGCCATTTGCTAGTACTGTTGTCCAGACTGACATCGTTTCATCTTAAATTAAGGCAAACATGTGGTGTCTAACCTTTTGGGATTGGCGCATTTCCCTTAGCATAATGGTTTCCAATTGGGCCCATTTGGCCACGAAGAAACGCATTTCATCTTTTTTTTTTTTTTTTTTTTTTTTTTTACTAGCCGAATAGTATTCCATGGAGTAGATGAACCATAGCTTTCTTATCCAATCTTCTGATGATGAGCATTTTGGTGGCTTCCAAATTTTTGCAATTATTGATTGTGGTGCTATGAACATGGGGGTGCATGTTGGTTTCTGGTGTAACAGGTGTTTTGGATATATTCCTAGAAGTACTGTTGCTGGATCGTATGGTATGCAGAATTTCAGTTGTTGGAATGTTGGAGGTTAATGCCGTCTTTTCCTTGCTGAGTGCTTATGCATGTATTTTCATTATCTTGGAGAAAATGAATTATTTCTTAGAAAAAGAAGCAAAATACTATAAAAGCAAATTAATTGTCACATTATATAAATGAAAAATTTTGTCTTCTATTTGCTTTGTACTTTAAAATTTAAACATTGTTAGTTATTGGATTTTGTGCTGTTTGAACTGTGGCAAAATCCATTTTAAAGGAATATTATAACTCATAAGCAAAATAAAGTATTAACTTTTTGAAACTAAAGTATAAAATTATTTCTCTATCTCTAGGCAAAATTTGGTTTCAGTAATATTACTGGAATTGATTACTCTCCCTCGGCAATTCAGCTTTCTGGAAATATCCTAGAGAAAGAAGGGTTATTTAACATTAAATTAAAGGTAAATATTTATGTTATAATTTCAGTACACTAGAAGTTACAAAGTTTAAGTGTTTCTAACGTGTATTAATCTTCTGACATCTTTTGAACTGATAAATTAAGAACCAACCATAAATAATCCAAACTGAAGCCTTTTTAAGAAATTTTATTTAACATTTAATCTAGTTGGTGTAAGTCATTTTCTTACTTTCGTGTGCGGGTATTTATATGCCACATCTTACTGCTTATTTGCAAAAGCACAAGTTATACTCAGCTGTGGATTAACCAGATAAAAAAGCTATAGACTCAAAGAGTAGTATAGTCAGCAAAGATGATTTAGTTTATTTTTGTGTCCTGTAATCTGTACAATACTGACTCCCAATTTTATACTTCTAGCCCTTGTCTCGTTTTGGTAGCAGCCCCATGGGCAGCTGAGCGTTCCGTACTGGATTAACCCACAGCACAGCCCTGGTCGTGTCTGCCTTGCTGCCTTGGTGTTTCCCATTTCTGCTGATCGTACCAGGGACCCTGTCGCACCAACACACGATCCAAGGAGTCATGCTCAAGTCCTGACTGAACTTTTCCATCTCATGTCTAGTTCTGTTTTATCTTCTAGATCTGTCAGGAATGTGGTGGTTGCTTGATATTTCTGTTGCTGCCTGTTAAGTTTGCACAGAGGTGACTACAAGAGCCTCCCCCTTTCTACTCTTGGTGTCCTCCTGGCCATTTGCCACACGGCGGTCAGGGTCATCTTTGGAAATGCCTTGCTCAGTATGGAATGGGACCGGCACACCCCACCACTTTAACCAAGTCCCCGTGTTCTGACCTCTTTCTTTTGTTGGCACTCGTGTCCCACAGTCTCACTGACTTGCTTGCTGCTCCTGAAATGCCAGGCGTGTTCTTGCTGAATGTCTTTATTCCGCCATCTGCCAGCAGAGATGCTTTTCCAGACTACTGTTTTCAGAATATTTTTATTCCAGTTGCTCAATATCATATTAGTATTTCTTCTCTTGGTAGCACTGTATCTGAACTGACCTGTTGAGCTTATGTCTTAGTCTGTCTTCTGTACCGTAATTGATCAGCAATTTATAAAGAGCAGAGATAATTTATAAAGAGTTACCAGATCATTTATAAAGAACAGGCGTTGTTTCCCTCGTGGTATGGAGGCCTGCAGTCCCAGAGCCAGACTCAGAAGGTGGTGAGGCCTCCTGCCTCCGAGCATGGCCGAGGTGTCACACGAGCCGACAGACCAGGCATGCAGAGGGAACACGCCCTCTTCATAAAGTCATTCCCTCAGGAGCCATCCCAGGTGCCCCCAAGTGTCTCAGCTGTCATAAACACATGACTTGAGGGAACAGATTTCCAACACATGGATTCTGGAGGGCACATGCAAGACATAATGACTTATTCAGTGTCTCTCTTTCTGGACTGTAAGGTATATTTGCATACAAGAATCACTACTGTTTTATTGAGTCCTACAGCTGCCACTCAAAAGTACTGGCTTAGTAGATATCCACAACATGTTTGTTGAATGAGTACTATATAGAGACATTGTAGGATGAGAAAGCTCTGTTTCTGAGAGCTGTGTTTATTGTTCTGCTTTGGGTACAGTGAATACTGTGCTTTTGATATGAGGCAGAAAAATCCATCTTGAAATATAAACAAGCATCCACTTTTTTTTTTCTTTTTATAAGATTTATTTATGTATTTATTTTTTGGAAAGGCTGATTTATAAGGAGAAGGACAGAGAGAGAGAAGGATCTTCCATCTGCTGATTCACTCCCCAAGTGATCACAGGGGTTAGAGCTGAGCCAAACTGAAGCCATTTGCTAGGAGCCAGGAACCTCTTCCAGGTCTCCCATGTGAGTGCATGGTCCTGAGGCTTTGGACCATCCTCTACTGCTTTCTCAGGCCACAAGTAGGGAGCTGGATGGGAAGTAGAGCAGCTGGGACAGGAACCAGTGCCCATATGGGATCCTGGCACATGCAAGGTGAGGATTTAGCTCAGCTATCAAGCTGGGCTCACAAACGTCCACGTTTTAAAGTAAGAGTTTTAGTCAAAACATTGCTTATAATTACTTTTTTTTTATGAATAATCATGAGCTAATTGCTTAGATTTCCAAGCTAGCTTTTCATATCGAGTTCATTGGCAAGTTTCTGGGTATTTTATAAAATTGAGGCAGATCACTATTTCAAATGTTTAAAATGTGTTTTGATTAAAAATGAGATGCTTGTGGGCCTTCCGCATTGGCCTAGTGGCTAGATCCTCACTTTGCATGCGCCGGGATCCCATATGGGTGCCAGTTCATGTACTGGCTGCTCCACTTCCCATCCAGCTCGCTGCTTGTGGCCTGGGAAAACAATAAAGGACGCCCCAAAGCCTTGGGCCCCTGCATCCATGGGGGAGACCCCCTGGCTTTGGATCAGCTCAGCTCCAGCAATTGTGGCCAGTGGGGAGTGAACCAGCAGGTGGAAGATCTTTCTCTGTCTCTCTTTCTCTCTGTATATTAGCCTTTATAATAAAAATAAATGCATCTTTTTTAAAACCTGAGGTGCTTATGTATGATCTTAAAAATCTGAGGTGTGTAGTATTTACCAAGTTAAGTAATTACAGTTTAAAACGGTCGTTAGTTTCTGATGTTTCATTCCATTCGTTATATCCACTAGTAGCTTGGAAGTTGCTGAGTCAAAGGAAAGGAATGTCTCATTTGTCATGTTTACTTGAGGTTGCACAGCCAAGAATATAAGCTAAAAAGCTTACCTCCAGTGACCTGAATTCCAGATAAGTTCTGTCTTTTTGAGAAATGTATTGGATTTTCTGTTTTTCGATGGGAACTTTTTTGTGAACCAGCTTATTATAGAGCTTAGAGCTCTGTAATGTGTGGTATTATGTGATAAAGTGCTTGGCTTGAACTTATTTCCAAGTTTGTGAGGATTTGGAATGTCTAGGAAACACTAGCTCACTCTCAGGGTCCCTTACTGATCTTGACTTTAATGACCACGGAATGAAACACATCAAAGTTTGTTGTAATGTGGAAAATATGTTTATTCTATGGAAATACTGCTGTAATTAATGGACCCTTTTATCTGTAGCTTTTTTCAGGCTGTCATTGGAAATCTGTAAAGTTTGTGCATTAATTGTTGGTTTTTAATACAGGTGGAAGACTTTTTGAATCTTTCCACAAAGCTGTCTGGATTTCAAATTTGTATTGACAAAGGGACGTTTGATGCCATAAGCCTTAATCCTGACAATGCGGTTGACAAGAGGAAGCAATATGTGAACTCCCTCTCCAGAGTGTTAGAAGCTAAAGGCTTTTTCCTAATAACCTCATGTAACTGGACCAAGGAAGAGCTGCTCCGTGAATTCAGCGAAGGTAAATGGCTGCGTGGCGTCTGAACGTGGGCTGACCTCAGGTTTCATGTGTTGAAATAGGTCTTTTCCCTGCTGGTGTTAGAGTTTTTTAGTTTTCTGTTTGTGGGAATTGCCTGCTTTTCTTCTCCGTTAATGATGTTGGTAATAATTTGTAACTGTTTGTACAAAGTACAGAGAAATAACATTGGTTGAGATCCAGAGAACTTTTAAAAAATTTTCCAAGAAATCCTGGCAGTTAAGTACTAAAATTAATGAGCCTGTAAATTTAAGTTCTTTATTTAGGTCATACAATCTATTATTTAGAAAAAAAAAGCACAGGTCCATATGTGCTTTTAAGTTAGAACACTATTTCACTGGCAAGTCTGCAGTCAGGAAATGGAGGTAGTCCCGGAGTCTCCCACGGTGAGCTTTCATCCTCCAGATCCTTCGTGTGTTTTGCTCTGGTTCTTACTTAGGTACCTGGGAATTGTTTTGCCTTGGCTTCAATGCCTGTGGGACAGTCACTTGTGACCTTCCACAGAAACAAAATGGAGGGAAGTGCCAGAGGGTACGATCCACTAGATCCACTAGCGCTTGGGTGCCAAGGAACGGTTTTCTTTGCCCTGTCAGAAAAGTATCATTAGAAAACCATGTCAGCAAAGTGGGGATTTTGTGAGGACTGACAGTCTGTTAACTGTCCTCAGGGCACTGTGAATTCTCTTTAGAGGTTTTGAGGAATATTTGATCTGCCGGTTCATCTATGCGGTGTGCAGGCATTTATGGATAATTATTGTGGGACTTTTTAGACATTTGCCTATTTTTCCTTATAATCCTTTTCAGATTAGTGTTAAGTTTTAGGTGAGGAATTCCTGCAGTGAGGTCCTTGAGGAGATGATCTGGCGCTAGATGTGTGGTTACATTTTGAACCTTAGTTTTCATCAGTCAATGGGGGCAGATCGGTTGCCTCAAGAGAGCAGTTTATGGCGTTGTGCTGTTTATAATCAAATGACATACGGTTTTATCTCAGGTTTTGTTTTCTCTTGGCGTTCAAGCAGTGATGAGGGAGAACGTTAACACATGTCCCTTTGTGTGCTTTCCGTGACCTGTGCAGGCTGTACTGAGCAGAACATGGCGCTGGAGGCTGCACACGGGAGCTGGTTGCTTCTGGAAAACACGAGTTACATATGATCTATCGCCTTTTATTTTGTGCCATTAATTTTACTATCTTCCCTGTTAAATTTGTTTTCTTTAGCGCTCTTGAGGCTCCATATCAATAGTTCTTTCCTCCTCCTGCATCTTGACAGTTTTAATGAATGCCCGGTGTCAGGGTGCAGGGCAAGTTCCTTTCCTGGTTTTTAAATACAGGTGTTCTCTTTTACCCATGAAGCCAGCAGACAAAAACATACTTGTCTGTCTTCGATAATGAGGAACAGACTTCAGCTTGGTATAGAGTGCTGAAAATGTGTCTGTCTGAGAACTGTTGAGTAAACTTTTAAGGTTTAGTTCTAGAACCAAATGCCAAATTTAAAAATGCAACATATTCTAACAAGAATGTTAAAAAAAAAGGTGTACAATTGACACTTTTTATACATGCATTTAGAAAACTGTTCAGAATTAGATTTGGGGCAGGTCTTGCTGCTCTGATCAGCCGCTGTGTTCCTTCTGAGCTGCTGAAAGAAGCTTGTGCCATCAGCCTTGGAAGCTTCCTTGCTTCTTCCATTATTTGAAAAGTAAACATTGTTAAAACTCTGAGACTTGTATTTTTCCTTGGTGTTCTTGTAGAATAGAATAGAATAGAATAGAAATGGAATTGATAACATCCTGAATCCAGATCACTGGTATCCGGCATGACACTGAGCATGCTCCAAAGTCCAAAACTTTTTTAAAAAAGAGATTTATTGGGCCCGGCGCGGTGGCGCAAGTGGTTAAAGGTCCTCGCCTTGCACGCCCGGGATCCCATATGGGCGCCAGTTCTAATCCCGGCAGCCCCGCTTCCCTTCCAGCTCCCTGCCTGTGGCCCGGGAAAGCAGTGAAGGACGGCCCAAAGCTTTGGGAACCTGCACCCACGTGGGAGACCCGGAAGAGGCTCCTGGCTTCGGATCGGCATAGTATCGGCCCGTTGCGCTCACGTGGGGAGTGAATCATCGGACGGAAGATCTTCCTCTCTGTCTCTCCTCTCTGTATATCTGCCTTTCCAATGAAAAAATAATGAAAATAAATCTTAAAAAAAAAAAAAAAGTCTCGAACGCTTTAAGAAAAAAAAAAAAGAGATTTATTTATTTATTTATTTATTTTATTATTATTATTATTTTTAAGATTTATTTATTGGAAAGTCAGATATATATAGAGAGAGGAGAGACAGAGAGGAAGATCTTCCGTCCAATGATTCACTCCCCAAATGAGCACAACGGCCAGTGCTATGCCGATCTGAAGCCAGGATCCAGGAACTTCTTCCGGGTCTGCACATGGGTGCAGGGTCCCAAAGCTTTGGGCCGTCCTCGACTGCTTTCCCAGGCCACAAGCATGGAGCTGGGTGGGAAGTGGAGCTGCTGGGATTAGAACCGGTGCCCATATGGGATCCCGGCACGTTCAAGGCGAGGACTTTAGCCACTATGCCATGACACTGGACCCACGATTTATTTATTTTTATTAGAAAATCAGATATACAGAGAGAAGAGACAGAGAGGGTGATCTTCCGCCAATGATTCACTTCCTGGGTGACCTCAATGGCCGGAGCTGAGCCAATCTGAAGCCAGGAGCCAGGAACTTCTTCCGGGTCTCCACATGGGTGCAGAGTCCCAAGGCTTTGGGCTGTCCTTGACTGCTTTCCCAGACCACGAGCAGGGAGCTGGAAGGGAAGTGGAGCAGCTGGAATTAGAACTGGAGCACATGTGTGATCCTAGAGCATGCAAGGAAAGGACTTTAGCCATAGGCCACCACGCTAGACTCATCCAAAACTTTGTGAGTACTGAAAATTCTACACCTTGACCTCACGTGTTTGGCTGTGGTCAAAATGCAGGTACACTAAAAGTATTGTATAAAATATTTTTGGACAGACTGTCTGTCCAAGGTGAGTATAAAACATAAATTTGGGCCCTGTTCTCAATATGTCTCATAATATGCATGGAAATATTCCGTGTGTAAAGGAAACGTAAAATCTGAAACTTAATGATCCCAAGCATTTTGAATAAGAGTCACTCAATCTGTATAACTATTTTGTGTTATCATTGGTTTTAGGGAGGGTTAATTTGAATTAGTTGATGGATATTAGGATGATCTAATTTGATGTGTACTAGATTTAACTTTTTTCTTTTAATTTTTATTATTTATTTTCATTTTTAATTGAAAGGCAGAGAGAGAAAGATGAAGAGCTTCCAGCTTCTAGGTCTCTCCTCAAAGGGCCAGTACATGTGGGACTGTGGGGAGTGTGCCAGGCTTGGAGCTCAGTCTCCATCTTGGTGTGCGTGGTGAGCTTAGGTACATGAGCCAGCACTTTGCTCCCTCCGACGTTGCATATCCGCAGGGAGCTAGGAACCAGGACTCAGAGCCTAGAGATGTAGGCATCCCAAACTGAGCTACCTGATGAGAACGATAGGGGTGGGAGTGTGACACCGTGGTTATGATGCCACCTGGGGTGCTCGCGTCTCGTGGGAGAGGGCTCTGATTCTCTGGGTAGACTCTGCAGTCCAACTTCATGCCATGCACCCACTGGTCGGCAGCAGATTATGCCACCCATGTGGGAGATCAAGGTGGAGTTCTGACCCAGCTTACAGCAGGTGTTTCGCGGGTAAAGCATTAGATGGTCACTCTCTGTTTATGCCTGTTAAATAAATAAAAAATGAATCCTGTAAGATATGTGCAGGTGGTATAAACAGTGTGGGCGTTTAGGTCTGTAGTTAAGATAACCACAGAATGCCTGCATTTGAATCCCGGCTGTGTTCCCCACTCTAGCTTTCTGCTGATATGCATAACCCTCTGAGGGAGTGGGTGATGGCTTCAGTACTGGGGTTCCTGCACCAACGTGGGGGACCTGAGATGATGTCCCAGCTCCTGGCCTTCACCTCAGCTCAGTCCTCGCCACCGTGGGCATTTGGGATGTGAACCAGTGGATGGAGAAGCTGTGTCTGCCTTTAAATAAAAGCAGGTCAGTTTAGAAAATTGTGTACCAAATACCTACCTGACACATTAGCTTCTATTAAAATACCTTGTGCTATATTTATGTATGTATACTTGAGAGAAAGAGAGGCTCTTCCTCCATCTACTTTTTCATTCTCCAACTACTGTAACAGGTGTAGGCTTGGCCTGGTAGAGGCTGAGAGCCAGGAACGCAATCCAGGGCTCCCATGCAGCTAACAGAAGCCCAAGTAAGTGAGCCACCACTGCTTTCTCCCAGGTTTATTTAGTGGGAGCTGGAGTCTGGACAAAGAGCTGGGAATATAACCTAGGTACACTGATATGGAATACTGCCATTTTTTAAAAAATGTATTTATTTTTATTGGAACAAGTCTTTTTTTTTTTTTAAGATTTATTTATTTATTGGAAAGTCAGATATATAGAGAGGAGAGACAGAGAGAAAGATCTTCCTTCCGATGATTCACTCCCCAAGTGACCTCAACGGCTGATGCTCTGCCGATCTGAAGCCAGGATCCAGGAACTTCTTCCGGGTCTCCCACATGGGTGCAGGGTCCCAAAGCTTTGGGCTGTCCTCGACTGCTTTCCCAGGCCACAAGCAGGGAGCTGGATGGGAAGTGGAGGTGCTGGGATTAGAACCAGCGCCCATATGGGATCCTGGCGCATTCAAGGCAAGGATTTTAGCCGCTAGGCCACGCCGCTGGGCTCCTGGAACAAGTCTTATTAGGAGGAGACAGAAAGATCTTCCACCTGCTGATTCACTCCCCAAGTGGCCACAACAGCTGGAGCTGAGTTGATCCGAAGCCAGGAGCCAGGAGTAATTGTCTCATTCCTCCATATTTTTTGCCAATTGTCTCTTTCCTCCATATTTTGGCCCTCCCCAACTAAATCAGTGGTCCACATGGGCCTACATCATTCTCAACTGCATAAACATCATAAAAAATAAGTTTATAACAAAAGAAAAGAAAAGAAAAAAAAAACTGAGGAAGCAGTAGAAGACATCCCAAGTTTTTGGGACCTTGCACCCAAATGGCCTCACTGGGCAGAGCTGAGCCCATCCAGAGCCAGGAGCCAGGAGCTTCTTCCAGGTCTCCAGCATGGATGCAGGGGCCCAAGGCCACAGAACTGGACCACAAGTGGAGCAGCCAAGGCACAAATCAGTGCCCAAACATAGTGCTGGTACTGCAGGCCACCACACCAACTCCAAACGTAGTAACTATTGAAATGGTCATTAAAACATTGTAAGAGGGCCCAGCGTGGTAGCCTAATGGCTAAGGCCCTCGCCTTGCAAGTGTTTTAAAAGATTTATTCGTTTTTATTGAAAAGGCATATTTCCAGAGAGGAGAGATAAGGTCATCATATGTGGCTTCACGCCCTGAGTGAGCACAGTGGCTGGAGCAGGGGCCATAGGCCTTGGACTGTCCTCTACTGCTTTCCCAGGCCCCAGGCAGGGAGCTGGATGGGAAGGGGAGCACCTGGGACATAACCAGCACCCATATGGGACGCCGGTGCTTCTAAGGAGAGGATTAGCCTATTGAGTCATTGCGCTATGCCTTGTAGCTTGTTTTCTGAATTGTGGCAGCATATAAATAATGTTTTATGGTCTTATTGATTTTTAACTGTGCAGTTCTGGAATTAAAAGTACATATTTTCTTGTTGTTGCAATCATCATCTTTATCCATCTTCACAACTTTTTCATCTTCTGCAAATCAAGTTATTTGACTTTTCTGTATTAACTGCTTTTATTTGTGTGCTGTGGATTGAGTTCCCAGTAGCGTGTGGCATGTGGTAAGAACTCAACAGATGCTTGCAACTTCCTGTAAGCTAGGTGGTGAGATGGCTGGTAGGGAATGGGCCTGGCACGGCTGGTAAACAGGAAGTGGGGGGGAATGGGGCTGGTTGTTGGAAAGCCTCTTTTCCCCATTTTGTTTCTGATCGTGTCTGTTCCTTGTCCATTTCAAAGTGATTTTTGGGTGTATGCACATATGCCATGCATTCACAGTAAAACTGGAAAAAGCATAAAATGAAATTTAGTCATTCAATTAGAATTTGGAATTGCATGGTTTTATAAAAGACTTGAAAGTACATTCATAGGACCTGGCGGCGTGGCCTAGCGGCTGAAGTCCTCGCTTTGAACGCACTGGGATCCCATATGGGCACCGGTTCTAATCCCGGCAGCTCCACTTCCCATCCAGCTCTCTGCTTGTGGCCTGGGAAAGCAGTCAAGGATGATCCAAAGTCTTGGGACCCTGCACCCGTGTGGGAGACCCAGAAGAAGTTCCTGGATCCTGGCTTTGGGTCGGCATAGCACTGGTCGTTGCGCTCACTTGAGGAGTGAATCATCGGACGAAGATCTTCCTCTCTGTCTCTCCTCCTCTCTATATATCTGACTTTCCAATAAAATAAATAAATCTTAAAAAAAAAAGAAAGTACTTTGATGGATAAACTTTGTAACTGCAGGATTCAGTCCAGTCCTTAATAAAAGTGTTTTGGTTTTGTTTGACAGGATTTGAACTTGTTGAAGAACTGCCAACCCCCACCTTCAGCTTTGGTGGCCGATCTGGAAACACTGTAGCTGCATTGGTTTTCCAAAAATCCTGATCCTTTCCTGGGAACAGATTCAGGTAGCTTTTTAAGAAGCAACAAAGCAAAAATAAACCTGACAGAAAATGCAATCATTAATAAGGTTCAATAAGTACCAGTGACTCGCATGTTGAATAGGTATAATGAGTTGGTAGAAAAAAAAAGAAAGAAAAATCTATGATCATGTAAGTCATTGATTTTTAGAGGCCAACGATTTTTAGTTTTGTATTTGAGATGTAAATATTTTCTCTGATTTGAAAACTTTAAGATAGCAAATGAATTAACAGAGAGTATGTGTTTTTGATTTTTGTGGTTGGTAAAAGTGAGTTGACTGTGGCTGGTTCTGAAAATGTGATCAGACTATTCCAGAGCCATATAACATGCACAGGGACTCTGTTCGTATTTACTAGTCTGTTTATGAAACAGAACAAGACATAGTGTTTTGGTTGAGTAGAGGTTTTTTAAAGATTACTTTATAACTAGGAAAACTCCTTTGGTCTTCATGTATACAATTAAACAAAATCAAAGAAATATATCAGCTGATGAAGCATTGTTTGTTGAGCCTGTATTTTTTAATGAATGGATTCTCTACACAATAACTGATATGAGGAGAAAAAAGATTAAGGGATATTAAGGGATAGCACAATGTAAAGTTATATGAGAACACTTGAAGTTTGTGAAAAAATGGAACAGAAAGATGGGTGCAAGAATTTTGAAGTCTGTGCGTAGCATCCCCCGTGAGCTTGTGTCCACTTCATTGATCCTTCCCAATATCTTTTAGATATTTTCATAAATTGTTATTTTCTAATATCTTTACAAAGTATATAATACTTGTTTCTACATACAAGAAAACTGAAGTTGAGAAGAGGGAAGTCACTGTGAGGTTAAGCGTGGAGGACAGTGTGCAGCCAAGAGCTGCCTCGGTCTGATGCAGGCCTGTTCTCTTCTAGAGTATTCTGCCTCCCAGCTGCTAAGTCATTGCCTTTGTGCCTTTTCAGTTCAGTTAAAGGTGAGTGAGAAGTGTGAGCGGTTGTTTCCTTCTGGTCCAAGCACTCAAGTCACCTGTCAACCAAAGCTGCCTTGCTCTGATACTGTGTCTGTCAGGGAGCCTCGCCTCTGTCCAGAGCTAAACTAGCCATTCTGTGCAAGAATGCAAACCCTTAGGGATAAAAGGACAAAAATGTTCCAGTAAGGGGTTAATTTAGCAATAAAGCAAGTTATGTATTAATGTTTTAAAATATGAGGCAAATTATAATACTTAATGTCACTTTGTATTAGTGCGTTAACACTGCAATCTTGATACAGTTTTTTTTAATGTCATCTATTTTTTACTGACAAGTAGTTTTGGGGGTCCATTGGGTTATAAAAATACCAATTTTTGTTTATTTGGCAAATGCTGCTGCAGTATTGATTAAGTCTAGTTTAACATCCCTTTTTTCTTTCACAAGATTGTAGGGCCAGGGTTTAGTTTTTGGGTTAGATCAGCGTTAGCCATTAAGGTCATTGCCTGGTTTCCACAAGATAGCTGAAGGCATTTATGTGGACTTTTAACAAAAATGACATTTTCTGGAAAGGTCTTGTTTTCAACATCTAAAAATCGACAAATTATTTCAAAGCATGTACAAGTTGAAACTAAAAGATTCATGTTGCTTTTTCTAGGTGTGGGATATTAAGCCAAAGAAACAGGCAGTCTATAATTGATTGAGATCTGATCTTGCTGCCTCTTTAATATTAGTTGGTCTTTTTTTTTTTTCATTTCTTTGTAATAATAGATAAGTAGCCTTTCAGAATTTTGCCTTGTCAAGTGCATGTCATTTTAACTCATGAATCCACAGTGTGGGCATCTTGTGGGGTGGACAGCAGCGCTAGGTTCCCAGAGCGCTCGGGAGGGGCTTTGTTGAGCAGCTCCTAGAGTTGCCGCCGGCTTCGCTCAGCTGCAGAGGGGAAGGCAGTGAGTGTGTTTTGAATCTTGGAGCTGTTGATGAGGTCAGCTCCCTTATCACTTTAATCCTGCTGGAAGCCAGTCTCTTAGGGACTAAAATCAGAACAAATGAAAGGTCTAAAAATGCTAATAAGAAATTAATTCAAATAATACCAAAGTGCTAAAAAATCTAGCCAGTGAATGTCCCCACGTTACAAAGACAAACCAGAAATACATTATTATTAAATACAGTATTGTTAAATTCTAATTATGCAGTATCTTATGTAATGAATGCTGTTTTCTCTGGATGAGAGATTGGAATTGCAATTTTATTTCATGAAACGACACTATTTTGAGAAAACTTGTTTGAAATGCAAACGAGATTTCTCCATGGAGCCTGCACAGAATTGTTGTGTTTCATTATGCTGTTGTTGCTGCCTGACTGGCCACTTGTGTGCGTAGGAAGTGCGTATGCAGGTCCACAGGGGATTGAGGCCTGACTGGGCGGGCTACACCAATGAACAAATAGAAGGTTTTTAGAACATTTTGTCTTAAGCCAGGTGGATGAGTTTGAGTTGTTTTTTGGTTCTGGCGTTTCTGTGTATGAGAATCAAACCTGAAACTGGTCTTGGCAGCTTGGCTGAAGCCATTGAAAATAAGCACAAACTGTCCTTGACTTTTTTTTTTAATCCTTTTGTAGTAGCAACAAGCTTGCTTTTTTTTTTTCTGTGATATACGTGCAGTCTGTTTATTTTGAAGGAAAAAGGGAGCCGAACATATACAGCAGACCATTTTTTAATGAGTACTGTGCTTTTGAAATTCTTCTGATGCTACAATGCAGTACTTTATGATATGCATTTATCCAGAGGATAATAATTGTTAAGAAGCTTAAGTTATTAAGTCTTTGAAAGAATTTACCCTAAATTGCGATGCAGAGAAAGAGTATCTATTCATGTTAGTGGACTTTAATGTCAACTTATGTTCTCTAAATGATTGTACGTTTATATGTGTTTCTGTCTGTGTCTCCCTGATGAAGTAGCACAAATGTGAACTGTCATTGTGTCTCTGTGGGAGGGACCTGAGTTCTGATTTCCTGTTTTTGGCTTTGTGAGCTAGAATCTCCTTGCTCCAGGGACAGTCCCATGGAGAGCAAGAGAGCAAGTGTCTTGAGTTCTGCAGAGCAGCCTCTTCAAGTTCTGTTGGGTGGGAGCTACTGCTGGGCTTTGAAGGGGAGTCTAGTCCAGTGCATGACACTGGGAGAAAGATGCCTGCGACCCACAGCTTGATTGTGGGAGGTGAGGAGAGCATCAAGTAGAAAAAGTTATGCAGACGGAAAAGTTAGGAAATTCTTATCATGTCGTTTGGTTAGGCAGGACAACAGAGATGTCCATGTAGGAAGGGGCATCCATGGGTATGCTTTATTAACAGGCAATGGAAGAAAATTAATGCTAATGTGTTATTCATACACACCATGCAGTTTGTTAGAAAAATAAAAGAATAGTTTGAAATTCTTTGGTCAATTGATGAATTTCTATGTTAGGGGCATAGAAATTAAACTCAACATTAAGCAGACAAAAACGCAAGCCCACAGGCTACATAAATGCTGAATCAAACAAGCTCTACAACGGAACTCTGAAAAGCTATGGATAAGAAGGCTAATGAATGATTGAATATGACCTTAGCAAAATCCCTGGAGTGTTGTGGAAAGATCATTCATTTCCAACGTAGATGTCAAAATGGGTTCTGATAACCTAGGGGGATGGGGTGTGGGAAAGAAGGAAGGAAAAATTAAAAAAAAAAAAAGGAAAAGAGTCTGAGTTACTACTTACTGAGTCTTAAAAATCTTCATTACACTGCATTAGGCTAATTGTTCAAAGGGCCTCTCCGGCTGACACTTTGTGGACCTGCACTTTAGACTCAGGGAGACCAAATTAAAAGTTAGGAATAATTCTGAAGACATCCATCTTTCAATATCCTACATTGATGGAGAAGAACTTCAGAAACTGGGAAATGCAGGCTGGCAGACTGCGTTTTTGTCATGCTGAAAATGTGTAAGGAGGACTTAGGACAAGAAATTTGCAAGTTGCTTGCCTAGAACAGAAAACCCAGATCTGAATTTTCTTAGGTTTGTTTTTCAGAAAAAATGGTTTCTTTATTTTCTCAAGCAATAACTTCTTCCCTGTTTTACTTCTACATCTGTATTTTTTTCTTCAAGTCTATACTTAGTGAGGGGTCTTTATTGTCCATACTTACCACATCCATCTGCCCACACCTGTAAATATTTGCATGTGATGCAGCAATGAGCATATCCTGGATCCTGAAAGAGGGGCATAGAGAGAAATGAGAATACTCTGCTTGAATGAAGAGCCCCTCAGCTGTCTCACTGTACCCCTGCTCGTTTGTGTGCCTTCGGGTAAAGCAGATTGTTCGCGGGGAAGGTGTGGAACAGAGATGGGTTGGAACTGTGGTGGCTCCTCTGGAATTGCTTGCTGGGAAGGAAGAGGCTAAATGCGGGAGAGTGTGGGTGTGCCAGTTCCCATTTGCCTCCTAACCCCTCTGCTCATATGAAAATGTCAGTCCTTTGTTCCCGTCTAATTTTAGTACATCCTGGCTGAAAAACATGTTAGGATGAGAAAATGTTACGATAATTTCCAACTGTGGAACTTTGAGCTGTGGGGTGTGGGGAGGAAGAGTAGAGGAAAGAACAGTTTATGTCGCATATCCGTCGGCTGTTCTGGGGCAGTGTCTAGCCCCCTATTCTGTTGATTTTGGTCATGAGATAAATTTGGCTGCACTGATAGTTAGCTTTTCCTTCCGTGATCTCTGTAAGAAGCCAAGTCGGAGCCTGAATGGGGAAGTCGTGAGATGGTGTGGAACCGAACGTACCGGGCTGAATTACAGAGCTTTGTGCAGGTTTTGGAAGAAAAGCCTGAAATGGTAGGTGAAAACCTCATGCTGTGTGTGTTAAAAGTGGAACCTCAAGGGCTCTTGGTGCTTCAGTGAAAGTGCCTTTTAACTGTCATTTTGAATGACAGATTTGTTGATTTTTCAAGAAGCAGTCAAAAACAAGGCTTAAGCTGTCCCCTCTGTAAGTTCCAGCAGACCTAGATGAGAAGGATCTTTGAAGAGAATGGGTTAAGTAATGGATGATATAGCTTGTTTAAGGCCTAGGACACAATCGCATTTGGCTTTGTAGTTGGAGGTGTCAATTGATGTTATTTGATTAAAAGGTAATTTATTAGATTAAGAGGGAGATTCTGAATGCTGAATCTCATTAGTTTGTTGGCTGGCTTTCTGCAAAGTGTTTTCTTCCATTAATGAACCAAGTTTTCCTTTTGGACTCTGTGTGTGACTACAGTGTCTGGGGCCAGGTTTGTGCAGTGGGTGAAGCTGCTGCCTGAGACACTGGCAACCCTTAGGTGGACTGGTTTGAATCCCAGCTGCCTGCTGATGAGCCTGAGAAAGCAGCGGAGGATGGCCCCAACGTTTGGGTCCTGGCTTCTGCCTGTCCCAGCCCTGGATGGCAACTGCTGTTTGGGGAATGGACTAGAGAGTGGAAAATCTCTCTCTCTTCCTGTGCCTCTGCTTGTCTTTCTCTCCTCTCCTCTCCCCTCCCCCCTCCCCTCCCCTCCCCTCCCCTTGCCTCCTCTCCCCTCCCCCCTCCCCTCCCCTCCCCTCCCCTTGCCTCCTCTCCCTTTCCCTCCCCTCCCCTCCTCTTCCTTCCTTCTTCCTTCCTTCCTCCCTCTTTCTTTCTTTCTTTCTTTCTTTCTTTCTTTCTTTCTTTCTTTCTTTCTTTCTTTCTTTCTTTCTTTCTTTCTTTCTTTCTTTCTTTCATTCATTTATTTTTATTGGAAATGCAGCTATACAGAGAGGGGGAGACACAGAGAGGAGGAGA